ATATGATAAAATATTTTGATAATAAGAGTGTACTAAAATTGTATCTTCTAAGTAAGAAAACCAGAAGGGTTTTCTGCTTTTAGGTAGATATAATAATCTTGGTGAAAGATGTTTCCAATTAAGTAGAATGCTATTATCTGCAGTGCAGAGTTGTTCAAGATACATAATGTTTGATTGTCTAAGTTGTTTTTTAAAGATTGAATATTTTAAATGTTGTGATAAAATGGACTCTAGTGATTAGCTACCATTACTAATTATGTAAGGCCAAGTCAAGTTAAAATTAATCAAGATGGTTAATCCAAAGTAAGAAAGAAGTTGAGTAATTTTAAAATTTAATGAATGTCTGTTAGGATCATCTATAGTGGGTTTAGGGTGATGTAGTATGCTGATAGAGGACCATAGATTGTTTTGTAACTATTGGAGTCTAATTCAAATTGTGATACTAAGAAGATCAGGATTGTTAATTTGTTAAAAGTAGTTAGAAATATAGTATTGAAGTTGAATGTCCCAGATATTATGTATATTGTATAGGAATGGATTAAGCATTGTACTGTTTGGTATAGATCTAGAAAAATGAGATTTGTGTTTAGCTACAATAAAGTATTTGGATAAGATTTGATTGCATACAGTATGAGGGAGAATTATATTATGAAGTCTGTCATTCTTAGTTTTATTATAGTGATAAATCCTATTAGTTAGACAATTAATTTATATTAGCTAATTATATAAATATTAATCTATAAATTCAAATTTGAACTAGTTTGCAAACTTTAAACTGAATCTAGACTAAATTTATAATTAAGTTTGATTCTGATTTAAATTTAAAACTTGAGTTTGGTTTGATTTTAAATCAAATTTGAATTAAATTAAACCTAAATTAAATCTAGAAACACTAATCTAAAAACAAAATAAAAATATATTAAAAATACTAAGAATATCTTATAAAGTTTGTATTAAAATCTAAATAAATTTTGTAAGAAAAACTTTGTTAATGCTTCATAAAGTAAGTAGATTAGTTAACAGAAAGATGTCTTAAGCTTTACAGTTAATTGACATACTTTGAAGTAAATAACAACTTGACAGTTATACAAAAAAAAAACCTAAATATTAGGTTAGATAACACTTAAATATGCAAAAACCAGTATGCTATTTGTCTAATGTAAAATAAGAATCAAAATGTTTAAATAAATAATCTTTTAGCAGATTAAAAATATAAAATCTAATGTAAAACTTGCAGGCAAACTACTTAAATAGGTAATCAAAAATTGTATATATGACTAGTTGCACATTTACCTTTTACAAGTTATGTATATATAATTAAAAAACAATAAAGACGATAATCACTATTAACATCAACTTTAGCAAAAGCAAAAAAAAAAAACTTTAATATATAGCTAACTTGTTTTTTTACTAAAGTAATCTACTTAAGCCTTTTAAGTAAACATGTTTGACATACAATTTTACATATAATAACATTTATAAAATTAAAAATTTAATTAAGAAAATTTACAATTTTAAAAAAATGGTTTAAATAACTTTAATTATTTTCGATATGCTTAGCTCAAATATAAAATTATAGTTTTTATTATAGACTTTTATTATAAATAATACTTATATATCAACAGGCGTGACATATTTCCTGACTGATAAGAATACCCATGATCTACATTGTACTCTACCTTAAATTTTTTTCAATAACGATAAATTATATAAAACTTAGATAACGGTAATACAAACTGTCAAGAATTTTCCGACTTCCCACGAAAATTTTACGGCCCTTGATGCTCCGTCAAAATTAATATAGAAAATGCCATTTATAGGCTTTGTCTGTTGACAGGAGGAAATTTGTTTCACCGTCGTGTACAATTTGCATAATTGTAACCAGTGTTGCAAATAGTACAATAGAACAAAGCTCTTTACACGTATAAAAAAAATTTTTTTAAATAATAATTTAAAAAAAGTGAATAAAATTATATGCAGTCCTGATTGTAACGTAACCACACATACTTGACGGACATCTTCGTTCGCAACCTGCATATCGATATACATCAATTTCTCCTCAAAATGGTATTTAAATATGTACACACTCGGCCCAGTTTAACCTCAAAAAATTTTTTAACATATATATATAGGTAATAAAACAAAAAACTTCGAAAGCTTTTATTCTCGTTTGAATTTCATGATGTCGCAATTAGTAAGTTCACCAACACCTACTGCTTCAGCTTCACTTGAACTTATGCGGCCAACAACCAGTAGTTTGATTTCACCCGAGAACCTCCTCTTAAAACAAAAAAAAGTTTTTGAAAAATTTGCTTCAGTAGAAATAGACGGTCAAAAATATATGAATCAGGATGATTTTGTTTCGGCTGTAGCGCCGGGTGAAGATTATAAAAAAATTCGAAAGGAACAATTCGGAATATTATTTAGAATAGCTGACAATGGTAAAAAAGGATTAATATCTTTTCAAGATTTTGTAATTTTTGAAAATTTACTTTCGAAACCGGATGTCGAATATGATATCGCTTTTAGATTATTTGATGTTGAAGGCAAAGGAAAAATTACTATTGAACGGTTCAAAGATATTTTGTCTTCGAATGTCACCCCAGATAGTATACCCTTTGATTTTGATTGTGATTGGTTAAAATTATACGTTGGTAGAGCACCAGAGAAAAAACATGAATTAGCTTATGAAGAGTTTACGCAATTATTAAAAGGATTGCAATCAGAACGACTTAGGCAAGAATTTAAATTTTATGATAAAGAAGGTATCGGATATATCACACCTGATAATTTTAAAAAAATAATTCTTTCTATAGCGAGGCATAAAATTTCCGATTATGTTATTGAGAACCTACCTACGTTATGCAATCTTTATGCTGGCAACAAGATCAGTTATGCAAGTGTCGTGGCTTTTCATAATGTCGTGCGACAGATGGACATGGTGGAAAGAATTGTTCATAAAGCTATTTCTGAAAGCAGTGATGGAAAAATTACCAAAAATGATTTTCTTAACACTGCTTCGAGAGAAACAAGGTTTTCACTGTTCACTCCATTAGAAGCCGATATTATATTTCATTTTGCTAGTCTAGGAAATCCATCAGGAAGGTTGTCAAGGCGCGACTTTGCTCAACTTTTGGATTCTAAGTGGGAACGACGAACGGAGATCAAACCAACTATTAAGACACAAACAAAGGAACATACTGGGGTTTTATGGGCGGTATTACATCAAATTTACACTTTTTTCTTAGGATCAATAGCTGGTGCTGTGGGTGCAACTGTTGTGTATCCTATCGACCTCGTCAAGACCCGAATGCAAAATCAACGGTCTAAGGTTGTAGGAGAATTACTATACAGAAATAGCATAGATTGTTTTCGAAAGGTAGTACAAAATGAAGGTTTACTAGGTCTTTACAGCGGACTCGGCCCTCAGTTGGTGGTAAGTCGCTTTTATATGTATGTGACAATTTTTATATCATAATTGATTATATAACTCTATCATTTATTTTAGGGTGTAGCACCGGAAAAAGCTATAAAGTTGACTGTAAACGATTTCGCCCGTGCCCAACTTAAAAACAAAGACACTGGTGCTATTCCAATCTATTATGAAATTCTTTCGGGTGGTCTAGCCGGAGGCTGTCAAGTTGTAAGTTTTTCGCGTCCTAAACTCAATGAATTTGTGAGAAATACTAATATGCTAATAACTTATTATTTAGATATTTACCAATCCATTAGAAATTGTAAAAATTCGTCTTCAAATTCAGGGAGAAGTTGCAAAAAATGTAGACATACCACGTAAATCTGCAATTAATATCATAAAAGATCTTGGTCTATTTGGCCTTTATAGGGGCGCAAGTGCATGCTTGCTTCGTGACATTCCCTTTTCCGGAATATATTTCACAACATACGCCCATATAAAAAAGGACATATTCGGCGAAGAACCGAACAAAAAATGTAGTATAGGTGAACTCTTGATTGCTGGTGCTGCAGCAGGCATGCCAGCAGCATACTTAACAACTCCAGCAGACGTAATCAAAACTCGTCTACAAGTTGAAGTTCGTAAAGGTGAAACAAGTTATAGCGGTATATTTGATGCTTGTCGAAAAATCTTTCGTGAGGAGGGTCTTATAGCATTTTTCAAAGGTGGCCCAGCACGTGTATTCAGATCCTCTCCACAATTTGGCACAACATTAATGGTTTATGAACTATTACAAAGATGGTTCCCATGGTCAAGCTCCGAAGAAAAAGTGGGAAAAGTTATTTCAGCTGTTACTGATTCTGGTGACCTTGGATATTTGAAAAGTAGAAATGCATTAAAGATTTTATTGGTATTTATAACATTTCTTCTATTGGATTTTTTATCATTACTGTTCTAACGAATTTAAATACTTTCATAAAAGGATTTGGATTATAAATTTGGAGTAGTGCCAAAAAATATCTCTACACCAACTTAAATTATGCATACATCTGACTATACAATATTTATTCATTTATAAACCATCATAAAGCATTAAGATAGATATAAAATCAGTTTCTTTCCCTTATTTCAGTATTTAAGAATTCTAATTTCGTTCGGAGTTAAGTCACTCGATAATATTAGTAGAATTCCCTTTTTTTATTTAAAGGTCAAAATTATTTAGATCAATGATTGAATTTTTAAAGTAATATTATTGTGGTCTGTATTATTTCACCGACAATCATTTAGCCGACATCACAACAAGCGACAATTTACTAAAAATATATACCAGCGACTAATAAAATGCTAATCCTAACCCTATGTGATGTCGGTCAAATGAGCTGTCGGTTAATTGTCGGTGAAGTAAACGGCACGATATTATTGAAATGTCAATGTGATATAATAGAACTTAGACGCCGGTGTGGTAATAGATTTGTTTTAATAGATTACAGTAATCTTGTAGACCCTAATTTGACATGAATTAATTTTCTTTTATAAGAGCTTATTCCTGAAAGTGTATGATGTAGATTAGATATCTGCATTGCTTAGCAGGTAGTTATGCGCTTAAACGAATGGGAATTTTATAAATTATTGTAACTGAATTAGGATTTTAGGATTTGAGTTAGTGTTAATAAGAATTTTTAATTAGTATAAGCAGAATCAGTCAAGTTTAATGTTTGAAAATTTTTAGAGTAATGATTTAATTAGTGGATTTGCAAGTTGCACTACATATGGGCAGCCGTCAATAGAAATAAGGCAGATTGACATTTTAAAAAAAAAATCACCTTACCTTTCATAGCCCATATCTCGATGGATTCTGAAACTATCTTGATGATTTAATAGTCAAAAGAAAGCTTAGATCGTAAGCTTTCTTTTGACTATTAAATCATCAAGATAGTCTCAAAATCCATCGAGATATGGGCTATGAAAGGTAAGGTGATTTTTTTTTTAAAATGTCAATCTGCCTTATTTCTATTGACGGCTGCTCATATGGTTCCGGTAAGCTATAATCGCCAATCACGTGATATGTTTCAAATTCCCGTGATCATGATTTACCAATAAAATTGCATCGTGATCAACCAGTCAAAATGTATTATGTATCGTTGACAGCATTTTACACTATCGGTATTTTTTTCAAAATAATCGATTGTAGATTATAAGACACATTATGTAAAATTTATTTAAAAATTGGTTTTATATTAGTAATAAAAATATTTCGAAATTTTTGTGCTATGCAAATTCTTTCGAAATATTTCGCATCTATAATTTTGCTGATGTTGTTACTGTAATATTGTCTATATATTATATTATATAAATAATTATTTAATTTTTTACTGTTAGTAGATTTTAAACTTACAACCTACTATTTAGAGGGTTGCTAATTTATCTACTTTACTAAATTATTACATTTTTATATATTAATTAAAAATAAAATATATATTATTATATATTTTATATATTTATTATTAAACTCTTTATAATAATCTAATTTTTAAAAGCCTTTTTATAAGGGTGTGGGTCCTATAGCTTAATTGTTAAGCTCCCATACCTCCATAGTCAAGGTCAACGGTTCAAGTCCAGCTGGAGGCAAAATCCAAAAGATTTTAGTCTCTGTAACCTATAAGGAGCCAGTAATTGAACACGAAGCTCTGTGGTTAAGTCCAAGTACAGTACATGATGGAAAAAGGAATTTCCGGAAGGAGACCGACTTTGCAGAGAGCAGGCACTACAGGTGACAGCAGTGTCACAGAAGGTTCTGTTATACAAAGTATTATGCATATAAGTCCTACGGAGACGGGGCAGTACCAATATCTTCATATCCAACTTGGGAAGTAATTGATTAAGAGGGTAATACCAAGGTAATACATACTGGAGTGGTAAGAAAAGTGGTGCATGCATAGAAGGTCTGTGACAAAGGATTAGCCTTATCAAGATTGGAAGCAACTCTGGCATTGTGGAATGACTGAAAATAGAAGATAGCTATACGTATAGAAAAGTTGTAGCCTGTTCTGTATGTCTAAAGGTACCAAACTGGAGCTCTGGTCACACCTATATGAAAGCCTATGGCAAAACAAGTGGAACACACCAACATAAATGCCATACCAATCAAAGTTGAGATACCTAAATTGGAAGTGACCTTTGTGAACAAGCACAGGGCATCTGTGGGAATGCAGATTTATACAGGTATCTGTATAGATCAGTGTACACAGAGGGATGCAA